ACAGACGAAACGGTATTTTATCCAGGTTACTTGACAGACGTTCAAAATTATCTTTAACTAACAAACTAACTCTTTATAAAGATTTAAACTGATTTGAACTTACAGCATAGAACTGTGGGTTTCAGCTGAAATCTCAAGCATTTAAAAATATCAGACTCTCCTGTCGGAAGTGTAGTAAAGCAAAGTTGACGCACAGTTTTATGCCGCGAATTATATGTTACATAAAGACTTAAACATCCCAACAATTTTTGACACTGCAAAGAAAATTGCAATAACTTTCATCAAAGATTGGCGTACAGCTTGGATCCTCTAACAGAAATTCTTAAAAGGCACAAGAAACCTCCCCACCACGATCTCACCTTAGCTTATATTCATATAAAAAACCCTAAAGCGTTATCTCACTTTGTAAACTCCGTAAGTATTAAGTTATAAAAAATAAAGGATGTTAGTTAATGATTTAGCTAAATAGTCATTTGGAATAATTAATTTTTTTAATTTTGCTAATGGCGTCTAGCTAAAACCTTGTAATAATAATAATAAATGAAACATAATAATAATAAATGTAACAAATAATAATAATAATAAATGAAACATGAATTATAATAAATAATAATAATATGAAGCCGAGAAAGCTGTGCTGCTGAATACTGCGAGAATCGTAAGGAGCTTCCTAAATATCCAATAGAACAAAAAAGAATGTCGTGAAGTGGTTGAAGTTAATTCTTCCCACTCCAGGAATATACCTTTTTTTTTTAAGTGATAAAGAATCAATAATAATAATAATAAGATTACTTAGGCGGTGGCCAAGAGACATGCTGTTCTTATTGATTTCCTAGATATGTGATGAGACGCTGTGAAGCTGCCAAAACATTTGCTCATTTAAAGACAATAAAGAAAGAGGTAAAACCATGGAGCAGCTACAAACGCAGCCGTCGTAGAGAAGAAGTCGTCCTCACGTGGCTGTGGATCGGACACACTAGACTGATACACCTCCACCTAAAGACTGACACACCTCCACCTAAAGACTGATACACCACACATTACAAAGGATCTTACCCCAGATGTCAAAAGTGTGACCAGCCATTAGCCATAAAATTTTTTATGGAATAGTGCCTTTTTTACACTGCAAGGTTAAAAGATCTCGGAATACCGCAGAATAAATCAGCATCCCTAGGAAATCAAGAAGAAATCATTACCAAAGTTATGAAGTTCCTTGACAATGAAAAACTTAAAAAACATATATGACATAAACTTGTCATATATAGAATAAATCTACAAAGGAGTTATAAACTTAACTCCTTTGCAGATTTATTTTTTAATTTTATAAGTTCATTTATTTATTGATTTCAATTCATTTATTGATATATTTTAAAGTTCATTGATTAATCTATTTCATCTCACTATCTATAAGTGTCTATTATTATCCTTATTAATTTATTTTATTCTATTATTTTTTTTTTTTTTTTAGTACCGACTATCACAGTATAAAAGTAGTGTCATTTAGCTGATCGGGCGCTGATGACCTGGATGTTTTAGGCTAGATATCGAAACAAACAAACATTAGCTCTGATAACAAGTGTAATAGTCGTTTGAAAAATTGGGATGCTATAAAACGCAGATAGTTTCAAAGTCGACGAATTGTGATGCGATAAATTTTGTTTTAATGATTTTGATACGGACATCAAAACGCAGTATAGTTACGTAGAGAATTATATTGGGGTTTGTGTTTTAATGACTAAAAACATAGTTTTCGAGATAAACCATAATCTCGCCTAAAGCCGTGTATTGATATAGTCGCCACAAGATAGTTATTACATAATTAGGTTTAAAATATAAAAAATACATATACGAAGGTTCCTCTTCACTAAACAAATAGGTCTTGAGTTATCACAATAATGGATTAGTATAAGTTCAGTGATAGCTTTCTCTTAGTGCTTATCAACCGAACTGAAATTATATTTTACAGTTGAGCAAGCTAATCTCTTATCAAGAGTTGTTAATTCAACACTCACTGTAAAGTATGATGATTAATTTCTTGTTTGTGCTGAATAGAATATCTTAATAATATTATATCGTAAACACGAATAAACATGTTTACTTACTTTACCGAAATGAATAGCTACCTAATGTGAGAGTTTTCATTGGAGCATATTTGTTGCTTTAATTAAATTATCATAAATAATTTTAAGTGCTTCAACCAAATGTGAAGTAGCAGTTCTTAATGAGATTAAATATTTTTATTTTCCACAGCAAACTATCCTGTTGAGGGTGTATAAATTTTGTACGTATACTATCTCACACAATCATACGTATTAAAATAAATAAATATTTTCTATATAGCTAATAGAATACGAATAACAAAATAAAATATCATGCATCAAATATATGTGAAAAAAGAGATAAATGTTTACATTGAAATAGAGAATAATAATAGTTGAAAAAATACAAACAAAACAACGAAGAGAGAACGGAAGAATATTGATATTTATTTTTTTTATTTTAAAATTTATAAATATAATTTTCCTTTGTTTAAAGTAGGAAAGATTCGTATTTATACTTGTTTTGCGCATCAAGAAAACCATATTTAGCTCTATATCTGTGTGAAGTAATTTATGTGAAGGCCCTAACACTTACTACCGTCTATCCACTTTTTCTGAAATATTCAAAAATTGTACGGGCAGGTACTTCCATGGCCCAATATTAATTATAATATTGGGCAAATCAAACTATTTCAGTTTACGGTTCGTTTTTTTTCTCTTTTTTTTTTTTCCAGACGAACACATCAAATGCAAAATTCATCGTGTTTCATCCTATCTTCATTTTGTTATACATCCAAAAAAAAAAAAAAAATTAAAATGCTTCATGTGCTGGATAGAAAATCTATATGTGATGGGGATTTGAACTTCTGATGTCAAATGTAGGGAAATAGATCTACAAATACCAGAAACAGGGCTGTATATAATGCGATAATGGAAGTACATTAGCTAATATACTTAGCAACAATCCATCACGGCCTCATCGGAAAGCATTCGCCATTCTGCTCTGTACTGTGCATCAGTCCAGAGAGACAGTCCATAATGGGTTAATGGAAATTAAAGGAACCGCTTTCGCATCACATCCTAGCTCCTAATGGTCAGAACGACCCACAATTCACAAATTTCTGGGGTACTGGTAACTATGTAAAAAATCAAATAATAATGTGTTTATAAGTCCTAAGGGCTATATTTTTTTATATTAGGCACATAAAGAGGCCCCGAAACGACGCACACATATCAATAAAAGAAAATTTTAGGAGAGGAACTGTATTTAGTTACTGTAATTATTTAGAACTGTAATTAGTTCTTCATGTATCAATAATAACGTTTACAATTAATATCTCTACTGTTAGTACAAAAGGTCTTCAAAATTAAGTTGTCAAAGGGTTCTAAAGTCAGAGACGCTCATGACGAGTGGAGAAGCTGGTCATCGCCAGAACTCCAGAGGCGTATTTACAGAAGATCTCGAGGCCACTGCCAAGCGTTCGAGGAGGATTATAGGGATGACTGGAGCTGGATAAGGATTGTCGAAAAGCATTTTAACATACTTATTTATTTAATTTGTTTTCTATTTATTTTTTTTATTTCTCAACCACTTTTATTGAGGTAGTTCCATTTTGTTTGCACTTATTTTTATAACCTTTACGTACACCTTTTACGTACTAAACGGATTGTTATTGAATAAAATATAAATGTTTACTTAATTTCATTAAAGATAAATTGAAAGTTGTTTGTGGGTTAAGTTTCAGTTTGATAAAGAAAATTATTACAAATTTGGCATTCAATATAAGCAATAATATATAATAAACAACAATGTAATTAATTTGCCAAAATCGTATGTACAACTTGCTGAGAAAATTAATTTATAAATATATATATATATATAAATAAATATTGTATTTTATTTTGTATTAATTCATCTTCATTATTCTAAGGGGACTTAGTCCCAGAATAAAGTTCAATTTTCTATTCTATTCTATTCTATTCCATATATATATATATATATATATATATATATATATATATATATATATATATATATATATATATATATATATATATATATAGAGAGAGAGAGAGAGAGAGAGAGAGAGGGATAGAGGGATAGATAATATTATCATTTCTGTGATATTATTCCACTGTTTAGGCTAGTGACAACTTTATTCGATATTCTTATGTCTTGTTATAAAAATGTATTTATAAAAAATATTTCTTATCTTTAGGAAAAATTCCATTATTATCAATTATAGGTTATTATAAATAAATATATCTCAAAAATGATGATAAGTTCTGGGAAAATAAAATCTCATTATTTTAATTCTGTTAAAAAATATAAATATACATTCTCAGAAAATGTATTTCCTCAATTTGATCATCCCGTATTTCAAATGCAATTGCAATTAAAGGAGTTATAATTGGAAAAATCGAACCATAATGCCTTGTCTTTATAAAATGTAATCTCTTGTTGATTTTTATACTCGCTTATATTAATATTGTCGAAGGAAAGTAGTTTCCTAATGCTTATTGAATATATTTTTTTATGTATATCTTTAAAGAAACATAAATATTTAACGTTGAATACATATTTTCTGATTTAAAGACACGTAGATCAGATTTTCCTAACACATCAATTATTTCGAGTGACTATCAGATGAATAATAACTGTTATGATGTCTGTATCTGTTTAGTTTTTCGTTGATTTCATCCTATTGTTCTGACTGTTCCTTTCCTCAAATATTTCGAGAAATTATGGAATTAATCTTATTGGTATATTGATTGTGCATTATTCGATCAGAAACCTTTTACGCTAAAGTTTCATGTAATGTGTTGTAAAAATGATTTGTATAGTTCCGTCTTTTTTTTTTTTGCTTGTCTTTCTAGTTTTACGGCAATACAAGTGTTTCGATCTATATAAAAGCCCTAGTTTTTATGAAGTTATAATAAAAAGAAGAAATTTAGCAGGCCTTAGGCCTTACCTGTAAAAGGGCAGCCAAGCAGCTCAATCCTCAGGCAAACTGTTCGCCGATGGACGCTGTAAGGAAGTACTCGGATCTGATTGGCGAATACTGGAGGCATTAACTTGTGCGATACCACAGTTGCTGTATCACTGTTTCCGCTAAGGATCTGAAAAAAAAATTATAATTTAAAAAACTTATAGTTTCATGACATTAATAAGTTAACATAACTACCTTATTACAGAAATGTGTCATAACGAATTCATTCCAGAAGACTGGTTGAAGGAATTACTCGTTAAACTTTCTAAGAAAGGAAGCCTTGCTGAATGTTCAAACTGGAGAGGAAAATGCTGACATCGGTTCTCAGCAACATATTATGCCGCATTATTCTCGACAGGATTAGGGAGGCTGTTAATAGTAAATTAAGAAAGAAACAGAGTAAATTCTCACCCGAGGAAAATCATAAATATTGTTAAAAAACTACATGAGGATTCCTTCTGCCAAGTTATCTAATATGGCAGAGTGCCGGAGGTCTTCAATGTTGGAACTGGTGTTAAACAGTTTTCTCCCCTATCTTATTCCTGATAGTAATTAACATCATTTTAAGGAAAGCTCATAGTAGAGAACGAGGACTTCATTGGAGGCTCACGGAGAGACTCGACGAGCTGGAATTCGTATATGACTTAAGTTATTTCGCCTAAAGTTTCCGGGATATGCAGGAGAAGCTAAATGGACACCAGGAAGAAGCTCTAAGTTTAATCACCAGTTTAAAAATAAATGATGCTAAAACGAAAGAAATGCGAGTAAATAGTAGGAGTTGGGAAATCTTTTTATAGAAGATGAAATGATTGAAAGGGTTAGCGAATTCCGCTAGCTAGGGAGCATGGTAAGCCAGGATGTAGGAGCCGATAAAAATGTTAGGAGCCGCATAAGGCCTAAAAAGCATTCTCGCAGCCAGTGTGGAGATCCCAAGAAATCAGGAGACGGCCAAGGCTTGGCATCTTCATCAGGACAAATGTTATGTCAGTTCTGATATATGTCTGCGAGATCTGCAAAGTTACCAAGAATGTGACCAAGAAGCTACAGAAATATGTCTATAGATGTCTGCGGAATATATTGCGATCATGTTGACCGACAAATGTCTTATACCGACCTCTGGTCGAGAACTACTCAAGTCCCGATTAATCGGGAAATCCTTTAAACGTCAGAAATGTAGATGGCTGGGGCATACGCTTAAAAAGGAACATAACGATATAACACGACAGGATCTAGATTGCAATCCCCAAACCCACCGAAGACGCAGAAGGATTAGAGAAACGTGGAGGAGGACTTTAGAGAATGGAATGCGCAGTGCCGGGCAGATCTTCACGACGGCCCTATGCTCCATCTAAGGGAATCTAGGAACTAATAATAATAATAATTTAACATCGTCAGGACCTACTTAATTAATAATTTTGAATGATTTTCTTGTATTTACTTTTATTAATTTAACAGTAGTAATTGAATACTAAAGTAATATTTTATGAATATAAATTTAGGACTCATACTTGGTGGCCATGGTATTATGAGTTGTTAAAGTCATGGATTAGAAGTGTGACGTGCAGCGAACCAAATGCTAATTAAAAAAAACACCACTTGGGTTTGTTTTTTCATATCAAGAAGAATATTAACACGCGAATATTAAAAAAAATAATTATAATTTTAAATAAATAATTAACGGAAACTCTTATAATATTTCTTTGGGCTTATTGTATGTATTTTTGAAAACAAATCATTAATAGCTGTAGTAAAGATGGCTTTCACACATTTTATATTAGAGAATTTTTATAGTCGTAGCCTGGAATTCTCCGAATTATTAATTAGAATTAATTTGTCAATAATCGCAAGCTTATTTTGCATGATTATCTAATTATATTAAAATTATGCTTCATTATTTTATGTTCCAAGCATTTACTATGCATTGATTAAAAGCTAACGAACTAACTAAAAGTTTTTTCTCAAAAATGACTTTATGTACTGTCTATATCTGGAAGGCTAAATTTCCATAGTTGGTACTATTTACACATAAATATAGATGTATATGTATATATATATATATATACGATATATATATACGATACGATATATATATATATATATATATATATATGATTACAGATTAAAGATGATATATATATATATATATATATATATATATATATATATATATATATATATATATATATATATCATCTTTAATCTGTAATCATCTATATTTATGTGTAAATAGTACCATATATATATATGGTATATATATATATATATATATAATATTTGAAAGACGATTTCAGCTCCAAATATTGAAAAAAAAATTGTTGATGTATTGATTATTGTTCACAAACTTTGGTTCAGGATAATATAAGAAAAACTGGAACATTTTTTTCCTTCTGCCGGACGTTCAGTTGGCACATCTACTGCTGCTGAACTGGTCGCAATGCAAAAGGTGAAAAATATGAGGGAAAAGGGGTTGTTAATTTAACGGTCTCTAAAAGAAAAAAAAAAATCATGGGCATTTGAAAAAATCCTGGAAGCATGGATAAGACAGGTTTTTCCATTTTTCTTTAGTACCAAATACAACCTTTGCAGGTATATGGGAAATATTTGAAGAAGAAAAAGTTGTTGAGATAAATAAATTCGTAGATAATTTTTAAGAATATAAATTTGTATTTATAGAATATGAAATAATTTTATCCGAATGTTGGTTGTAGCCTAAGCAATTGCTTCATTTCTAGTTGTTCTTTGTGGGTTGTGGGAAGTACGTGATATAATATCTTATCTCTTATAATAATATTTATTTACATAGAAAATAGAATTAATTATAACTTTAATCAAAATATAATATTTTTCTGTATCAGTATTTTCAATGCATAACTACTGTTTTGATTCAATTGGAGATGTTTTATACTAGAAGTTTTTCATTTTTTATAACACACCCTTTTAAACGGTGATAAATAATTGACAAATCTATAGAATAATATGAGTACTTGATGTTCAAATGGAATTCATATTTTCAATAAGAGAGAGTTAATTCCGTTTATTCGCTTTTTATTATATTAGAATTCCTATCCGAATCCCTACAGCTATAACCTATTGTTTTTTGAAATTCACTCAATAAAAAAGTAATGACGGAGAATGTCTCTTCTTAATTGTTCTATAACTTTTTTCTTAATAAATCATTGATTCATCAAACTGTGGAGGTAGTTCTTGAGTAGATTGCTTATCTTAAGAGTCAACTTTCATTTATGTTATTATAAATAAAACACTTGATTAAACAAAAAACATTTAACTGTCGATATTTTCTTAAGTTTTTAGGAAGTAACCAATTAGTTTATTTATACTTTTGAAAATGTATCATTGAAAAAATAATTTAATTTTTAACTATTTCTCACTAAATACCAATATCGAAGATTGTATGGTTTATTAATTATTTTAAAATTTAATACCACTACAGTCTTACTGTTTCTTACCTGAAGGTTACACTGAAGGATCATTTATCCATTTTACAGTGCTGGAATATACCACTAGTCGGTCTATTTACCGATGATCGAACATAAGTTGCACTTTCCTCCACACCACTGCCAACCCGACTGTATTATTATTATTGATAGAATAATTTTAAACATTAAACTAAGTTGAAAAATGTTTCGTTTATTTTTTTTTCATTTATCATTGTAGAGCCGAATTTCCATCCTGTTAATTATAAACACATGAATAATTTTTTTAAATAACAAAGAATAAAAAAAAGTAACATGCTTCTTACTTGTTTAATATAAAAATATTATACTTAAACTATGTTGTATAGTTTCACAAACTAATAAATTTTATCCGAAAACAAAAGCTAAATGTAAAAAAAAAAAAAAAAAAAAAAAAAAATAATCTCGACATCGGTAAAAGTTAACCAAAAATTAATTAAACTGAACGTAGTTGGGTATATGATCCGAGAAAACATAAATGTTCTCTTATTAATGTTGAATTCATAAAACAATATGATTGAATACGAGTATGTAAACGACCAGGACTGGCTTCACGATTAAAATTAAAATTTTAATAAAATTCTAAGAATGAATTTTTTAAAAAATATTTTCTGAATATATGGTGTGAATGTGAATGTGAATATATCACATAATTATTATCCACGTGACAGATTATTATATTTCTAAATAAACAAACAAAAAAAAAAGAAATTTAATTTTATACTGGTCTTGTTCCTCTTAATAATAATTAGTAAAGCTGGAGTAGAATCGCTAAATGTGATATTGTTTTTTAAATAAAATGTAACTATTAAAATTAATGAATATTTACAATTTTTTAATTTCATGAATTTGGACAACCGTAGTTATAAATGTATTAATGATTAATTCTACTCGGCTATTGGTACATAAATTGTACCGACATTTTGATAGCGTTTATTTCAGCGGTGGGAGACGACCTTACAGTCTTTTTTCTTTAACCATGCAGCCATTTATCACAATAAAACTATTAAAAAACGTTTTAATCGACGTATTTGGCTCTAGTACAATATATGTGTCAGCAAGTTATCAAGGGTTAACATAATCCTCACATTAACTCCTTGGATGTGAGCTAATAAATTTTTTTAAGGATTATTTTTTCATCTTGCAAAAAAAATTCTTTATTGTGTAGCCTAATACATTTTCAACAGTCCGGCTAAATATTGTAGGCTAGGAGTCTTCAAACATTTTGAAATGCAGGCCACTTTGATATCTGGCCTCACTGTCTTATGGTCCAACGCACTGTTGATAAAAAATATGACTGTGATATTGATAAAGATATCAATAAATGGTAAACAAAATGTATTGTGTTTATTATTTCCTGTAATCAACAACAAAAGTAATCAACAATTTTTATGATTGATATTTAAAAATATTTTTTTTACACCTTAAAATTACAAAAGCTTTCGGTGTGTTTGCATTATATTCATCTCTATAATTAAAAACAACATTAATTAATAACCACAACAATTTATTTCTATTACATAACTTTCATAATTATTTAATTATTTTTTGTTATTTTAATTAATTATTTGTTATTTGTTTAATTACTATTTTTAATAATTAAAAAGAGAGAGAGAGAGAGAGAGAGAGAGAGAGAGAGAGAGAGAGAGAGAGAGAGAGAGAGAGAGAGAGAGAGAGAGAGAGAGAGAGAGAGAGAGAGAGAGAGAGAGAGAGAGAGAGAGAGAGAGAGAGAGAGAGGAGAGAGAGAGAGAGAGAGAGAGAGAGAGAGAGAGAGAGAGAGAGAGAGAGAGAGAGAGAGAGAGAGAGAGAGAGAGAGAGAGAGAGAATGTATTAAAAGTAATGCTGCTCTACTATATAGGGTTGCTTCATACACAGTATACTTATCAATCCATATGGACATTACTATTATATTACATTTTCTTTTTTTGTATATATATATATATATATATATATATATATATATATATATATATATATATATATACTAATAAATATGACATATCTATATGATATATATATATATATATATATATATATATATATATATATATATATATATATGATATACATATACATATATATATATATATATATATATATATATATATATATATATATATATATATATATATATGACTTATCTTTTCTTCCTTTTTTTTTATCCTCTTATAAATTATCAACAATAAACCATATTAAACTATATGGTTAAACTATACTTCGCATAGCAAACATTTTCTCAAGATAAAAAAATATAAAAGAATAGTTAATTAAAATCAATCAATAGTTAATTAGAAGGAATAATTAATAACAACAATAGTAAACAAGAATAATAACATACTATGGAAAAATTTCTGGTTATAACATAATTTTATTATTTATAAAAGATTTTATCAAAAATATTGGAATTTTCCGTAACTAGTTTACTGAAACCACTAAGGTAGAAATATTGTCGTTCAATAGATGGGATATTGCCTTTCCCCTTGAAAAGATGAAATCGACTTTGAAAGCATTCATAACACAGCTTAACCCAAGGAAAGGCAATACTAGATATTCTCATAAAATGAATAACTCAATGTATAACTTTATATTTTATCTTTAAAACGTCTAGTATTCCCATCAATATGAATAAATGCCATCCATTGCAACAAAGAATATGCTCTATGTCAGGATATATCATTCAATGGAATTCCGGAAGTGGATAAAAATCTATAGAAAAGTAGAAGCTAATTATAGATCTTTATAGTATCCCATGTTCTTCAAAGATGGTACAAATATGTTCGTTGCTTTGGAATGGTATTCGCATATCAATAATTAATTATATTTATTTAATATTGCTTTTGTTTATTAGTATATTTTCTCTGTGTCTATAAATTTA